ATATATATTTAAGCTAACAGAACATGACAAGGATAGAGGAGAAACACCTAGAAACAAGTATAGCAGACATTCCTAGCAACCAGGGAGGGGGTTGGATTTGTGGGCAGTGTTTTACCTTTTTCTGTGTGCCATTCTCTACTTTCAAATGTAGGACCAAGAGTGATAAACGTGGCCAAAAGGAGCCTTCTGATCACTGATCACGAGTTGTGAGCAGCCAGAGGAACACAGCACGCACGGTAAGGGGTGAGCATCTCAGACTGACATAGGGCAGGGAGGCCAGGCCTGGGCACAGGCTGGGATGACGAGTCCCCGGTGTCCCCAGTGTCCCGGCTTTGGCTGAGCAGTGGGCAGCAGCAGGTTTCTGCTCACACGGCCTTCGTAGATGTCACGTTCCAGCTGTGCTGGCTCGGCTCCATATCAGGCACGGAGCCCCGGTGCTATTTATACCTCCTGGAATGTCGGCGAGCCTGCTGGCAGGCAGAGACCTTCGCAATCCACCCCAGGCCCCTTCCCAGCGCCCACTTCAGCCCAGGGCTTCCGGGAGGCAGACCACAGATAAGGAGCTCTGGCCTGGTCCCCTAATGGGATTATTTTAGGGACCACTCGGGACAGACTGGGGTGGAGGCCCAGGCCAGCTGTCAGTTTCTCCTTCATCAACACCCCAAACAAGGGTCAAACAAAGAGCAGCAGTTACGTAGAGGCTGCGAGTCTCTCTGAGCCAGAAAACCGTCCCCCCAAGGACAGCTGGGAGGGGATTTGCTCAGAAAGGCCATTTCCACCTCCTCCCTGCACCTCTGAGTGACCCCACACACCCACCCGCTGGCCAGGTGACCTTTCAGGGTGGAAGGGCAAAGCCATCGCGGTGTAACTCCTCGTGGGCTCAGGGGAGCCTGTGAGATGACGAGCCAAAGCCTTCTAAGACAGAGAGATATCAGCTCTGGATTCGCTTAGAAGGGGTCAGAGCTCAAATATGTCCCCGTTCTGCAGGCTTCAGCAGTTGCACCATTTTCAACCAGCACTTCCGGGCCCCTCGGGAGCCACGTGCTAGGTGTGGACCCCAGAGCTCACCGTGGCCAAAGGCTCCTCCTGCCTGGGTCGTCTCTGCGGCCCCCCGCAGCTCCCCCCAGGTGCACATAAGCTCAGCTCGGGGATGACTTGGTCTGTCACTCGGAAACAACCACACAAGTTGGGCAGATACAAATCTAAGGTCCGGTGTATCCTTCTGAATTCCCCTAGCCACGTCCTTTCCTAGAACCAGAGGCACTGGCTAGGGGGCTTGGAATGAAGGTCAAGGGGCGAGGTCACGGCTCACCTAGGAAAACGTCTCTCTGGTGACCCCAAGAGGCTACCCAGTGCTGCCAAAGGGGTGGATGCAACAAACTGGGCCCCCGCCCTGGCTCTAACCCCGATCTGAAGGAACAGGGCCCAGAAGTCCAGCACTATCTGTCTCCAAGGTCACTAGGCTGGTGGGGGCACAGTCTGGGTCCCCTGATTCCAAACGCGTTAATAACCCCACTGACACATCTTCATCCAAACACCTGAAGTGAGTCATACCGGGTGCTAAGGGACGTCTTGCCTCACCAGCGTGGTTGGACCTCTGGCCTCTGTGCTGACGTCAGTGCCAGCCCCTCTCCTGTCCCTGGAGTTGTGCCCTCCAGCCCAGGCTGGCTTCCGGTCGTTCTCGGGTCTCTAGTGAGAAGAAACCCAGGTGTGATCCAAAAGGGACTGTGATGAGTGGCAGAGGAGGCTCCGATCACCCCATCAGGAAATTCCAGGGGTTTTAACCACTCTGTGCCAGACAAACGATGGAAAGTTGCCTTTTTACGATACAAAGTGGAGAGGGACTCTGCACCTGTGGGAGTGGACATCTCTGCCCCTGGCTGTGGTCCTGTTCTATGGCCCTTAAGGAAGCCGCGTGGGGTAGAGGCATGGACAGGCAGGACGGGGACAGCCTGCAGGGCCACCCTGGTCACATGGCTGTGAGCGAGGTGGGTGCCCTCCTGAGTGCCAACGGGACCCCCAGGGGCCATGGAGACTGTGCCCCATTACAGAGCCTGAAACAGCGGCTTCCAGAGGGGCTCCCTGCTTGCTCTCCCTTTAATCTCAGAGGCCAGCACCTGTGCCCGGCCCCACTTGCCATGGGCGTTTCTCCCGACCGTGCCTGGCTGCCGCGTCCGCCAGGGCTCCTGAAGAACCCGAGATGGCAGGCAGTAGACCCGCGGCAGCCTGGAGCAGGAGGGGCCACCAGGCCTGGGAAGCTGTGGCTGCCACCACTCTCCCTTCCAGCCCAGGGTCCTCAGGGAGGGACACACCTTGTCCACTCCCGCTGACTCGGGGCTCGGCCTCTGTGCCGTGCTCCCGGTGTCTCCCATGGTGGCTCTCAGCTGTGCCCGCCAGAGGACAGACGGTGGCACTGTCTGGGATGCTGGGGGCCATCACAATGGTCATCACTGCTGCATCGCTTGGGCGC